TAACGGTATAAGTGGCAACGACAATGATGGCAAAAGTGATGAGTACAAAAATAAACAGCAGTGATGGCAAAAAGTATGATAAGGATAACAAAGATTGCAAGATAGAGAAAAGTATTGAAGCAAGTAGGTACACTAGTGTAGCTAACCGAACAGTGAAGTATGGCGGAAAATATGTTGAATAGCAGTGGGATACTTGCAACTGTGAATGAAATTGTTGGGTTGCAAGTTTCTTAATTGCACCGATGCCAGCGGGAAGGGCAGCAAAATAGCGTCAACTTGGTAAGCTGGAAAATAAATGACTTTGGAGTACGGTGACATAATGTTAAAACAAGTTAAACTTCTGATGCAACCCACACGCTAATGGCTGTCGGTGTTGCACGCAGTAGCATAACGCCCGTGCATGCAATTAAAGAAGCAATAGTACAAGCAGCAGGTGCAATAGAAATAAAATTGAAACTCGAATATCTATTAAAATATACACTCTAAAAAATTGTGTAGATTTCCTACCTAAAAGGTAGGTTACTGATTTCCTACCATATTATTTGCGAAATTACATGATCGATTATTCAACGAATAGTTTGTTTAAATTTCGTACTTTTTAGAGTGTAATATAGCTGCTGTGGTGTGCGTAAATTTACTACGAAAGTGTGTACAAGCTACAAAATACACATTTTCTGTTTGATTTCACCCGTAAAATTGTTTAAAGCCACTAACAAAAAGGATTTTTACACACGGAAATGTGTAGACGAGAAAAATACATATTCATCGTGTAAATTTACCAAAAAATTTAAAAAATAAACAAAATTATACTCGATTTATAGTAGCATTTTTAAACAGATTTTTTAGAGCGTGCACTCTAAAAAAATTAGTTTTAAATTTGCGCATATTAAGAAACACACCGTGTTAATTAAATTAAACACTGCCTGTTTACTTTTACTTATCATATGTGTGGCGTAGAACAAATTTCAAATTTGTATTTTGAGTTCTAAACATTAGTTATTCACAACTTCAAAGATTACGCGTAAAATGTTAAAAGTTTCCTCTAAAAATGTTTGTTTAAATTTGCGCATATTTCCTTTCCTAATGTGTGCAAAATTAAACATTGTCTGTTTACTTTTACATACCAAATTTGTCATGTATAGAAAAATGGCACACAAAGTGTTTAACATTGAGTAAATATAGGCATTTAAAACTTATTACTTGTAAAAAATATATTTTTACTTTCAAAATTTTTGTAATTTTAAACATTTAATGTGTAAATTTATGCGTATATTTTAAACAACTCATGTTCAAAATCAAGTTTTGAACACCTTGTGCGTATATTTGCACAGATTCTGGCTGAAAAATTAACACCCCTCAGTATTTGTTTTACATGCACTTTTTAGAGTGTACGGAAACAAATTCTTGCAATTCAAATAAAATAGTCGTATGCAACAACAGCAAAGAGGCAGGAAAAACTTGCTCAAGCAATAAAAATTCAAGGAAAAATACGCCTGTAAACTAAGAATTATTTCATGCTAATGGAAATGAGAAAACAGCTGCAACAGCAACAAAAACAAAGATACAACAACAACAGTAATCACTACTACAGTTCATAGCAGCATTCGCAAGTAGTGGCGTTAGCACCAGCAGTGACCATAAATAACATTGGCATTGGAGATGCAACAAATGTTGCATGTAGTAGCATTTGTACGCCATACAGCTAGGGAGCACTTGCGCCCACTAAATGTGGGAGCACTAAAGAAAGCAATAAGAGCCTTAACAGTCACAACAACACAAACACTTGCTTGGCAGCAATAGCGACCGGCGAACTGGCAAGAACAGCAGAACATTCATTTCAGTTTATTGTTACAGAAATAAAAAATTAAAGGGCAATCAAATTAAATGCTCTTAAGTGCAACAAAAACAACAAATCTATGTTGCTAAGTATATACGTATGTACTTTAGAGCCAACTAAAACAATAAAGTACGAACGAAAATAATGTGTAAAGCAATTAAAAAA